CTTTGTGGCTTTGTCTCCGGCGCCCCGACTCCGTCCCAGGCTGAAAATAGGCCTGGCTGCGGGCCCTGCGTCCCGCCCCCGCCCCGAGAGTAATTTTAGCAGCACCATTCATTGAGTGCCTAGTGTGTGCCAGGCGCTCCGGTCCTGTCCACGATAATCCCGAACGGTAGGTACTATTATTATCGTTGTGCCGCAAAGGACATGGAGGTTCGGCGAGGTCAAGCGACTGGGCCAAGGTCACCCAGCCTGGGAGTGTCACAGTTAGGAGGTGAATGGTTGCTGTGGCAGGTGAAAGCCCTCAGTCCCCGCCACCAGGCGACGAGGCAGCTCCCCCCTCCTCCCACCCCGGCAGCCCCCACAGGGAAAGGGGACTCCCACATCTTGTAACTTTTAGGATGGACCAGGACAGGAGGTAGGGGAAATCGAAAAGATGCACCTCTCTGGGTCTGGAGACTGTGGGAGAGTCCAGGTGAGGGGCACCGAGGACCTAGAAACTTTCCTGACTTGCAAGGTCTCCTCCTCCAGAAAGCCCTCCAGTGCTACCAGGTCAGAGTCACAGACAGTTCACAGAGGTGCCCTAGGCAGGAAGTTTTCAGACCTCCTTTCCAAACCCTGTCTACAGAACGAATTCAAACGTGGATGAAAGTAGTAAGTGCTCTCAGCTATTTGGGAGGCTGAGGTGGGAGAATTGCAGGAGTTCAACACCAGCCTGGACAACATAGTGAGACCCATTCCCAAAAATTAAAAAAAAAAAAAAGGAAAGGAAAGTGTCACGTGCCTGGAGCTGAGGCAGAATCTGAGGCTCACCTACACACTTGGCCAGCCCTGACCTCTCAGGGAGGCCCTGCAGACTCCTCAGAGTATGACAGGGAGGCCCAGGCCCAGAGAGGGGCAGGGTCTTGCCCAGGGTCACACAGCAAGTCCATGGGTAAGATGAAGATCCCAGCCCTCCAGAACCTCAGACCAGGGCTCCTCCCTCACCTCCACAACCCCCATCTCTCCTGCCTGCTCCCCAGTCTTTGAGGCCAGGTCTACAAGCCAGAGAGTGCCTTATTCTGTGTTCTTTTTTCCAAGCTTGGCATGGACATGTAGGTAAGGAAACGTTTGCAGAATTAAAACAACAAGCAGCCGGGCTCAGTGGCTCAGCCTGTAATCTCAGCGCTTTGGGAGGCCAAGGTGACTGAATTGCCTGAGCCCGCAGGTTCGAGACCTGCCCAGGCAACTTGGCGAGACCTCATTTCTATAATAATAATAAAAAAATTAGCCGGGTGTGGTAGCGCGTGCCTGTAGTTCCAACTACAGGAAGGCTGAGGCGGAAGGCTCGCCACAGCCCAGCAGGTCAGGGCCGCAGTGGCCGGGAGCGTGCCACTGCATTCCAGTCTTCCAGTCTGGGCAACGGGAGTGAGACTCCAACTCAAAAAAAAACCAAAAACACTCAAGCAAACCTCAGTAAAGAGTGGAGGGTCTACCAGGCACTGGTGGCTTAAGCCTGTAATCCCAGCACTTTGGGAGGCTGAGGTGAGAGGATTATCTGAGCCTGCGGGTTCAAGACCAGCCTGGCAACATGGTGAGACCTTATCTCAACAACAAATCAAAAAATTAGCCAGGCATGGTAAAGCGTGCGCCTGTAGTTCCAGCTACTTGGAAGGTTGAGGCAGAAGCATTGCCAGAGTCCAGCAGGTCGAGGCTGCAGTGGCTGTGAGCATGCCACTGCACTCCAGCCTAGGCGACAGAGTGAGACTCCAACTGAAAAAAAAAAAAAAAGAGTGGAGGATCTGTCCTAGGCCTTGAAGCAAGACCACCTAAGTTCAAGTACTGATTCTGCCTCCTCTGAGCTGTGTGATCTTGAGCAAGTAACTTAACCTCTCTGTGCCTCAGCTGCTCCAGTTGTAAAATGGTGCTAAAAGGATGTCCCTGTTGGGATTGTCTGTACATCAGTGACTTAATGCTCATAAAGTGCCCGGCACATAGTAGCTGACCGTAGCTCACGCGTGCCATGCATTGAGAATGCCCACGAGGGCTCAGCAACTGTTATTTCATATAGATTGGGGGCCTGGCAACCCTGGTTTCACTTGCACTGCCCCTAACTCCATCATGACTGCGAGTTGGGATGGAAGGGCAAAGGAGCCACCCCTGGTACCTGGAAAAGCAGGTGAGGGCGGAGCTTGATGCTTCTGTCCCTCCCAGAAGGTCAGCCTGAGCCCCGGGGCAGAGGAGGGGGAGGGAAGCCCCTGGAAGCCTTGGGGCCTCACCCAAAAACAAAGATCAGGGACCAGCCTCCCAGAGCTGCTCCGAGGGCGGTGGCGCTTTGGTGTAAGCTCGACTCACATCATGCACCCGTTTGAACTGCTGTGGTTTTCCGGACAAGGAAGACCAGAGGCCCTCAAACGCAAGAGGCTTGGGGTGGTGAGTTGAGTTTGCCCTCCAGGAGCCTCTGGGCACGCAAGGGTGGTGTTTACAGTCAGCACAGCTGGGACACTGACCAGCCAGCCAGGCTGAGCAGAGCTCTGGGGCCGGGATCCAGGGACAGCCTTCTGTGGGAGTCTGGGGCTGCTGGGTGGGGTGGGGTCCTCTCTCCCCTTCTTTCTTCTCACCTTCCCTCCCTCCCTTCCCATAAAATCCTTGGCCACCCACGATGTACCAGGCCTTCGGGCCCTGGAAACACCATC